GTGGACGTGAACGGATGCGGGATGCTGGGCTGACTGAGGCTTTGATGGGACATAAGAGCACAGGGATAGTGGGGCGCCTCCCACCAAAGGTCCCTTACACAGTTCAGTCCTGAAACATGACCTGCCCCTTGACCCTGCCTTGTGTCCATGACCCCTGGTCCTTCCCCGTGGTCCTGCCTCCGCTGGCAGAAGAGGGCGCACTTCCAGGTGTCGGCCGTGTGGTGAATCCAGGAAATCTATGAAGTCCCCACCTTCTGGACCACTTATGGATGGATGGAGCTCCATGTCCCTTCTCAAGTCTCAGCCCCCAAAGATATGGTGTCCTTGGGGCAACACAGGAATTCATCTGGCTGGATTTTCTTGGCAACAGGGTCCATCTTGAGTGACCTTCTCCTTGGACAGTAGGTTTCCGAGGGTGGAGGGTGACTTCCTCTGCATTCCCAGGATCCGTGCTGCTGCATTTGGACGCCCCCTTTAGGAAGATCATGGGACTGCTAACCACACCAAGGTTCACCCCTGTTCACCAAGGGGTTAATGCAGAAAGGGCCATCTCAGCCCTATCCTTCCTCAGGGTCAGATTCTGGCCATCTGTGTGTCTGGCTCCCTGTCCCCAGAGCACCCAGTAGCGGCAGCATCATTGCTCATGACTCCGGGCCCCAGAGTCTGGGCTGTGCGAGAGCCAGTAGTGCAGGACAAAATAATGGCTTTGTTTGGTCGTCTCAGATGAGGGATACGGGGGCAGTGTCACAGAGCTTGATTTTGGGAAAGTGTTTGATGCATCATCTCATAAAATCGTGCTCACCAAATTAATTCCAGTGGCCCGGTGGCTTGGAAACTGGCCATTGACCCAAGCAAAAGTCAGAGACGGGTGGTAATGGATCTGTTAGGGAGGAGGGGCCAGTAAGAGGCTGCTGTGGGGCCCAGAGGCAGGATGGTGCTTAAGTAAACCGTTGTCTGAGGATCAGCATAACCGGCCCATCAATAACTGGTGACGGGTGAGTACAGGTGAGGCGCTAGCCAGAAGGACTCTCAGGGGCAATGAATTCTGAGTGGGTGGTAAGTCTCTTAAAGCCCTATCTCTCCGCTTCCCCATGTGCCCCGCGCCACAAGCATTGATAAATGCCTGTGTGGCCAGGGGTGTGCCCTGCTTGTCTCGTGGTGGCCGTGTGTTTGCCTTACTTGTCTTTTGTGTATATATTTGTCTCTGGGGCCGGATGCTTCTCTTGTGTGTCTCTGGTGAGGCGCTGTGTACAGTTGCATGGGTTGCGCACACCGCACTCCTCCAGGGACTTGTGCAGCACAGTGTCGCTGTCTCTGGCAGCACCTACTGAGGTGTGTGTTTGTGTACCTGGGAATTTACATGTCTGTGTGTTGGTCTCAAATGTCCCAAGATGTGTCATGTGTTGCTTGTTGATGGGATCTTTGCATGAAGGCCACTCAGACCTCTTCAGCTTTGGACAGTGACCTCTGAGCCCTAGTTTCCTAATGTCTACCACAGAGGGAATAGTAATAGGTACTGGTACGGTTGCTGTAGATAGTAAGTGAGGTCATGAGTGTAAAAGTGCTTATTAACACAGTACCTGGTGCTTAGTTAGCCCTTGGTGAATGGCAGCTGTTGGTTGTGGTGGCAGGGCAGGGAGGCAGGAAGCAGTGCAGACGGGAGGGGAACTGGTCTGCAGAGGGAGTGAGGGTGGGCTTTCCTTCCAACAAGAGAGGATGGTCTGTGTACCAGTGAGGCACCTGTAGTCCTGAACAGAGCCTGTGACCGTGCAGTGGCCACTCCATCTGGCCCACGACCTGGAAGAATCGTGCTGGGTGCAGGAGGGGCAGGAAGGAGAGGAAGCCAGGATGCCCGCGGGGGTACCGGAGCCCGCCTGCCCCGTACGGGGTGTCCCAGGCCCCCTTTCCCATCCATCTTGTAATCAGGAGATAATGCCGTGTCTTATTCTTTATTTGCCGAGAATGCCCGTTATTTTCTATCTTTCCGAATCCAATTTGCTCATGACATTTCTGTCTGATGTAGCATAACGTGACCTTTGTGAAGGGACATTGCTGGCAGCCTGCGCCCTGCCTCCGGCTCCCCAGGAACCCCTCGCACACGCCCTGGCTGGACCCCCTCGGGGATGGGCAGGGTCCCCACTTCACCTGGATCATTTCTTGCTGGGGGTGGAGTGGTGATGGGGGCAGGGACAGAGCGGGCCTGCTTCCGAGGGCTCCCTGACTCCAGGGTTCCTGGCTGCTGACTCTTACGGGGTGCTGCTCCGTTCTAGAACAGGGGGTTCTGTTCAAGGCCATGCTGCAGGGGTGTGGAGACATCAAGGCGGGCGGGCCTTGCCTGTACTTTTGCTGCCACCGCTGTTGTGGTGCGTGGACAGTGATTTGGGAGAACCACAAAACAAAACAGGAGATTCCGCCTGGATGAGTCGTGCACATTTGCTGAAATGTCGTAGAGGCTAATGGTAATGAGGACTCGGGGAGGCATCGGAACCAGTGTCTTTGACCCTGAGGTCTGAGCTCTAGGTGCAAAACCTAGTGTAAAGTCAGCCACTAGCCCACACAGCTGCATGTGCATCTGATCCACACTCTACCCTCCTGCCCAGTGGGTCCCAGGGCGCTTTGCCCCAGAGGTGTCCTCAAGTGGCCACTGTGCAGGTGCTCCTTTATCACCCGTTTCCTGAGGGCTGTAGGCACAAGCACACTGTCGGCAGGGGTTTTGTGAAGCTGAGCATGTGGAATGGTTACAGTTTATGAGCTTTCGGTGAGTCACGTGTATTCGAGTTCTACATCCCCCAAGCACCTACCCTAGACAGCGCCCCACGGGCCGGAGGACCCTCGAAGGACTGTGCTGGCTTCATGGGGAGCAGATCAGGAAGCTGAGGGACCTCTTCCTGCCTGTGGTCCCCCTTTTTTTGCCCACCAGTCCCCTGCACCCGCAGGAAGGGGGGTGCCTTTCTTAACACAGTCACAGGCTGTCACCAAGGATAGGGCGGCCTCAGATGCGAGGGGGAAGCCGCGTCCCTTGGATCCTTGTGTCTGTCATCTGTCCCCGTGAAAGGTGTGAATACTGTCTGTGATTTCACCAGCCTGGACTTCCCCCGTGATCTCTAGCCCCATGTGGCCAGCAGGCTAGTTGATTTCTCTCCCTAGATGTCTAACAGGCGTCTCTAACTTTGCAGGGGAAGCTCTTGATCTGAACCCCACCCCCAGATATGACCCTTTTACAGCCTTCCTGGTCTCACCAAATGACACAGCTGCTCACCTGATTGCTGGCGTCTTCCTCCCTCCTCTCCCAGACCCAATCCAATAGGAGGTTCTGGTGGGGCCCCCCCTCCCCTCCTCCCAGTCCACCTGCTTCATTATCTCTAATCCCCTTCCTTAATACAGAAGCCTCCTAAGGGGTCTGCCACCTTCCAGTCTTGGTCTTTTACTTTTTATAAAAAATGGTAATCAGTGATGTCACTTCCCTACTTAAAGCCATCCACTGCCTTCTCATTGCTTTTTAAAATAAAATCCAAGGTCTTCAGTATAGCCAGTAAGGTGGGTGTGGCTGTTTCCTCTTCTCCTTACCCCCAACCACTCTCCCCTGCGTCCTTCCCCACTGGCCTCCTGTCTGCCTTTGCTCTTCCTGGCATCCACTGCCCAGAGCGGCCCAAGCCTGACACTGGTTCCTTCCCACTCCTACCTCAGCTCGATGTCACCCTCTCAGAGGGCACCTAAGCTCCTGCATCGAGGAGCCGTCTCCCTCTCCCGCGTCGGCAATGGCATCACTTTGTCCCCTTCCTTCTGTTCATGGCAGACTGCAGCTTACTCATTTATAACTCACATAAAAGTGTTCATGGGGTCCTTCTGTTTCACCCGCCCCTCATTTTCACTGTAGCCTGTATTTGGTTCTCTCCAAAGACGTGCTGTAGAAATCACCTACATAGGGGTACGCAAGTGTAAGCATATACACGTGTGTAGAACAGGAGTGTGCATTTGCATTTATTACCTGCGTGTTTGATGGACACCAGTAGACACATGCTGTGTGTGTGTGGGTTGATATTTACCTACATGGCCTCCTTACAGCCATCCGTGCTCATCAGTATGTGGGCGCATTTTTCCTGGGGTCCTACTTCAGTTCTGGTGGTGTCTAATTGCCTCCTGTAAGGAGCCTGGCAAAGCGATAACCGTGGGTGTGTTTCTTCTATTATTTGGAAGAGTAGTGACTACTTTCCCCTGTACATCCTAATGAGAACAATTAAATAGCCATTAGGAGGAGAACAGAAGTGTGAACAGAAAGGCTGATGTCTTGATCATTGATGGGCTTCTTTGCTGGGGGAAGGACTGGATGGAAGAAATTGTAGGTGACCTGCAGAGTTTTTTCCCAGTATTGTGAATGTTAAGAATGCTTGTTGGTAAAAGGCTGCATAGTTTCACTGATGTGAGATGAGTAAATCCTAGACATACTATGGTATGGCATCGTCCATTATTGAGACCATATTATATTCCTAAAAGTTGGTTAAGAGGATATATCTTATATTAATGCTTATCACAAAAATAAAAGTAGAGAGAAAGAGTAGGCTACTTTCATTAGAGTTGATGGTTAAGTTTATGGCATCATTTATGGTGACCATTTCATGATTATACACTTACCTTGAAATTCATCAAGATGTATACATGAAATACGCACAGTTATTTTTATGTCAGTGATACCTCAGTAACAGGAATGAAAAAGAATGCTGTTGGCTTGTGTTACCCCGAGAGGTCTCTGTTCTCCTGTAGGAGGGTGGCTTCCAGAAGGTTCCCTGAACCCTTATCATGGTGTGGGGATGTGGGAAAATGACCAGGAATCCAGACCTGATCTATGGCTATGACTACTGGCAGTCATGTATTGTTAGCAGAATGGAGCCGAGGAGAAGAACAGCACAACCACACTCCCGTGAAATAATCAAGCCTATTTCCATGAGTATTACCTGATGCAGATCTGCCCTTAATTTCCCCTTTGTCTGTCATTCTTGCAGAAACCTGTCGAGTAACCGGCTTACTACACTCTCATGGCAGCTCTTCCAGACGCTGAGTCTTCGGGAATTGTAAGTTTGGTCTTGAAATCCATCCAAGGAGTAGAGTGGTGGAAGAGGCTGGGTGGGGAGAAGTGTCAGGCTGTGGAGCTGCCGAGGTTGGGTGTGTGCTTGAAGGGGCTTCTTGGCTTAGGTGACACAGAGTATACCATGTTCAGTGAGATTGAGTCACCCTGTCGCTTGATTTCTGAGGCTCTTTTTGGCACAGTCCATTTCAGAAGAAGATAGGAATCTTATCCCTGAGCGGGACATAGTTTTGTTATCTGTAGGTAACTGGTGATAATAGTATTGGTATTTATAATACTAAAGAGTATTTATGAACTTATGATAAATCACATTGATAATGCATGATTTTGTAAATTATTAGGTGTGCTTTCATTTATGTGACTTTAGATTTATCATCATGAGCATCATGGGAGATGAGTGTTATTATGTCTCCAATAAAAAATGTATTTTTCCATTTTTAAGATGAGGGTTCTGAGCCCCCAGAAGGCATGTGAGACACAGCCAAGATTGCATTATTAAGGACTGGCCAACCCGGGACTTGAACCAAGGCCTCTGACTTCAGGCTGTGTGTCCCGTCCATCACTCATAATCTTTTGTCAGCTTATTTGTCTTGGGTATGGGCATCCTGATGGTGGGGGATGGTGGGAGGCAAGTCCATGTATTTATTTAATCTGACCGAGGACTGTTTGGCCTTGGTGCCTTCATGGCTGATGGATTCATCCCTATCCCCTTCAGCCATTTATTTTTATTATTATTTTTTTTTTTTTACAAACCCATGTTGGATGGATGAGTGAAAATTCCTGACCACTGCTGGAAAAAATAACTCCTCTTGATGTGTGAGTCATCAGGGTCATCTCTGTGCATAAAGGACAACATATTATGTTGAGGGAAGAACTCAAGGAATAAATTGGAAAGGAACCGAGGCATGGATGAAATTAGGGAGTGAGGGTTCCAGAGACACTGCTCATGTGTTCCTTTTTACTTAGTGACTCAAATCCACATTCACTGAATGGAGAATGCCTAGCATCTTTACCAAGAGGCAGTGGCATTGGATCTCTGCCCATGCTGTTGGCCTTTCAGCCTGTCTTCCCATCACCTGGGAATACCTGAGTTCATGGATGAGTCATGATCTTAGCTTTTCCAACTGAGCTGCTCAGGAGGGGAGTATTTATATCCAGTGACCCATTAGCCCATTACCCCATGATAGTCTTGTATACCCTACTTATCCTCATGGGCCTGAGTTCCCATGAGTCTTCAAAGGCCATTCTAGGGTCAGGGAGTACAGAGATGATCCCTTTGACAGTGCTGGAGAGTTTAGACAATACTGCTGTGATAGTACTTCCTTTCTTAGGATTTTACCCTTTCCTCGGGGCTGCTACTCTGGCCTGAGCATAGTAGACATAGTGATCAACAGTTCTCAAGCCACATAGAGGGCTGAGCTCCTGATGTACACTGATTAAAAACTACCTGAGCTTGGAAAAAGGTAAATACGTACTTATTTGTTTATGTAACACTGAAAAGCTAGACTATGTCACAGACCGCTAAATGCCAGACTGTTAGACTTGATGCATTGTATTCATTTCCATCTTTGTAGGTGGAAAAAAAACCTTAGTGGTAAATGAACATGACTGCTAAGGTCACTACCAACAACAATTTCTGAGATCTAATGCCGTGCCAGGCACTGGGCCAAGCAATCTCTGGAAATGTGTACATTATTTAATTCTTATAATAATTTATCAGGTAGGAATTATTACTGTCACCTCACATTCGGGGACACTGAGGTACTCGGCAAGGTTAAGTATCTTGTTTCGGGTTACCCACGAACCAAGTGGTAGCATATGGACTCAGGATCTCGACCATTATGCTTAGCTGTCTCCCAGCCTCTTAAAATCTCTTTCTAATTCAAGGATCGGTTCTGCAATAGTTTTCAAAAAGTGCATGATTGTAGTTCTTTCTTGCGTTGCCCTAGTGCTGATCAGGGACTCTGTCATAAGGAGCTAATTCGGGGCTCTCTTTTTTGGGAGTCTCATGTCTGGTTCTCCTGGAATGCCTGCCCCTTCGTCTGTAGGAGGCGAGGGACAGCGTTTCTCTGGGAGACATCTGGGGTCTGTAGTTGGCTGAATTATTGAGAGAACGTTCAGTGCTCCTTCAAAAAAATCATTGGATGCGAAATCAATGGTGTGCTGCCCTGGTGACCTGTTTCATGGAGTTTTAGAAACAGTTGTTCTTTGGATATATATTTAAAGAAAATGTCAGATTTATCCTAGAGGATCATGGGATTCTGCATTCATCTTTGCCTGGGATCAATATACTGGTGAGCTAGATGTGACTTATGGAGGAATGAAGACGTTCCCTCCAATATGAGTCAGTGTGTGAGAGCCACCATGTCCCAGAGTATTTTATTTCTGTCGTATTGTTAAATAAGAAAAAATTACATCAGAAAATAACGAAGCCCCCCTCCAAGGAGCAGTCACCCTGGTAGGGGTCTGTTTTTTGAGGAAGAATTGAATGTTGAAAGTGGAAAATTTATCTTTTGGCTTGGAGGGGCCTCATGTTGGCTTTTTGCTGTGGCTATGATTAAAATCCAAACAATTCCAGTTCCTGGCACATGGAAGAGGGGGTAGTATTTTCTTGTCCGATTTCCTGATTAGTCCACATGGCACCATCTGCCACGAGCCTTCTAGACTGCCAGGGTCTGCCCAGTGGAGCCTGTGGACTGGGGTGTAGGGCTGGGTTGGGTATTTCCAGGAAGAAACAATCTTGGCCCTGGAGGAGAGAGGCCAAGGGGAGATGGCTCTCTGTGCCGTGGCAGCCTGAAGATCACAAAGCCAGAAGCGTGAGGCTTTGAGCCGCCTTCTGTAGGAAGGGGTAAACTAGGGCATTCAGGGATTTGTCAGCACATTTCATTCTGTCACTGAGGATGTCTGCCTCCTCTAACCAGACCCTTCCCTGCAGCCCCCCCAGAAGATCCTTGATAGGAGAATGCATGCTGTTGGGATTCCCCATTGGGAGGACTGAGTGTCCATGACCTTTCCAGCAGTAGTAGAGGAGGAGACGAAAGAGCTATAATATTGAGCACCTGTTATGAACAAAGTCCTGTCTCATCCTTGGAGCAACCCCACATGGGAGGTATCATTATAACCAGTTTTGCAAACGAGAGGTTGAGGCTTGGCCAAGTTAAACAACTGGTCCCAGATTAAAGAGCTTGTAAGTGGTAATGGGAATTGGTATTATGAGAAGTAGCATTACCACATCCAGCTCTGCTATCTTCAGAGACCAATGCTCTTTCCTTGAACAGCTCAGCAACGCCACCTCCCACCCCCTTGCCCCTCCCAGACTTAACTGTCTCCTTCTGGAAACTGCTCTCAAGATGGTTATCTTTCCTAGTGGAACCACTGGGGGGAAAGCCCAGAGAGGTTAGCATCTCGGAGCCCTTGTCATGTGCTGGAGGTTTCCTTTACTCATTTCTCACTTACTCTTGTCAGATGAAGGGTATGGTCTAGGCTTTACACCTGGCCCATCGCCCCTGACCAGTCCAGGCTGTGTTTCTCTTATTGGGAGAACTGGAAACATCTCTCAGGACTCCCTTTGGAGTCCTCAGTCCTGTTTCAGTGGCACGGGTTTGCGGAAATTTGAGTTGACAGTGCACAGTTGCTCTGAGAAGTTTCTTCTATGTCAAGATGGTGTTTTTTTCCATACAGAGAGGACTGGAACTGTCTGTCCAGAAATCAGAGCGAGAATCATAGAGATTGTCTTCGAGATAAAGAATGAATTAGAAAGAAAAGAAGCTTGGATTCTGAATCCCATGACACAGTTTAGGCAAAGGCAAGAGGCACCAGAGGATCTAAACCCACAGCACAGAAAGCTTCCAGAAATACCCTAAGGACCATTAGTGTATCTTGAACAGGCTTCTCTTAATACCCTGCACACACAGAGCAGTCATGATTAAAACAGATTGGAGTATTTCATTCTCTTAAAGCAAAGTGATAATTACCTCTGGTATAATTTGCAGATTTAATCGACTTGGTAAAATATTAACTCGGTATCGGGGATGGGTTAGGGCTGATCCTGGCACTTCCTTTCTCCTGGTCTTGGGCATGATCACTTCCCATAGCTCCCAAAGAAGTCCCTGAATGATTGTGTCAATAGTAGTGTTACTGTAATAATAATTTCTGGCCTCTTTCCAGCCTCTTTCAATTCACAGAGCACGTTAGCGTGTGTTATCACGAATCCTCATCGCTTTGTGAAGGAGGGTCGTGCGCAATTACCCCCATTTGACAGACATTAGAGCGGAGTCTTGGAAAAGCAAGTTACTTGACATACTCATTTCCTAGGGTTGCCTTAAACCACCACAAATCTGGAGGCTTCAAACAATAGAAAGTGACTCTCTACTCTTCTGGGGGTCAGAAGGCCAAAGCTAAGGTATCACAGGGCCCCTCTCCCTTTAGAGGCTCTCAGGAGGAATCCTTGCACGTCTTTTCTGGCTTCTCATGGCTCTGTGGCTCCTGGTGTTCCGTGGCTTGTGTCAGTGCCACTCCAGTCTGTGACTCCCCTCTTCACATGGCTGCACTCCCTGTCTCTCTGTCTATGGTCTCTCCCTCTTCTCTTATTAGGACACCGAGTCATTGGATATAGGGTCCACCCTGAATCCAGAATGATCTTGTCTCATGACCATCCCATGATCCTTAACTTGATCACACCCTCAAAGACTCTTACTTCCAAGTAAGGTCACATTCGCGGGTCTTGGGGGTTAGGACTTGAACAGATCTTTGCCGGGGGAGGGGGAGGGGAGAGACACAGTTGAGTGTGCCATCTTTGCTCACGGTGACAGCTGGCTCAACCCAGATCTTTGGTTTGTGTACTTCTTCCACCATTGTGTTACCTCTAGGAGGCCAGCGACACTCACCTGGCCCTCTGGACATGCTTCCCTCGTTAACAGCAGGTCTGTGTCCCTTCTCCATTTTCCGCTGCCGGCCCCGGATTGCCATGGGCAGCTCTGTGGAGGG